CAAAAATTAATCAATATTTCCACAAGTTTTAGCTACACCAAACAGCTGCCTCAATCAAAACCTTTGACCCAACGAAAGGAATTACAACACCATCCAAATAGTTCCAGCTCAGTGACCAAGCCATATTCTTCTCTCTGTCCATCCAGATGTATACAAAATCTTTTTCCATGTAACTGCTACAGGAAATCCAATCATCAAAATTGTGCTTTCACGGTGATTGATTATTTTATATTATGTTTATCAAGCATTTACATGTCCTTTTTTTTTCTTTTAATAATTTCATCCATATAGTTGTTTTTCATATGGTGTTCATTCACAGTGATTGTGTTATGTTGGATCTCATCTCTTAGGTATTATGGTTTCACTTCCATGACCAGTATAATCCTAATGCCGACAATTATGTAGCAAATTATTTTAGAACTCTCTTTATAACAACTGAAAAACAATAAAAATTTTATCATAACTTTTAAGTTCTGTATTAGAATTGTACAAAACCATTAAATACCATTTTAAAACTAAAAAATGACCAATATAAAAAGATGGAAAAACCACAAAATATGAATGAGATTATGGATAGTAGACGATGGGGAAGGAAAAGGATGGAGGGACATGAGACAAGTTACAGCAATCATAGGCAAAAGCCATCACAACTCCATTAGAGCATTCCCATTACACATTACAACCAGTATAGGGTAGTAAACAAGAAGATGACATTTCCAAGATGAATTGCAAAGCTCAAAGAAAATTGGAGTTGGGTTGAGTGACAGAACAACCCTAAAGCTTACTAACTTAGATTTTCTTTGACATTTTACAAGAACCAAGGTATTATAAACCAATGGATGCGAAATTCCAACTTTGCAAGATAATAAGAGAGGATGAATGACCTGCAGCAGAGAACTGCTCCTATATGTTTGCTCAGCAACGAAGCCTCTAAGCTAAAGAACTGACCCCTTAGTTCACCCAAAAATATAATGTTAAAATATTCTTAGCAAAGGTAGCACTCTTAAGTCAACTAGCAAGAGATTAGAAGACAACATGATTCTAAGACTAAGATTCTTACAAATGCAAAAGGAGAAAGTCAACCATGTGGCCAGTTCCATGGGATTAGCTAATGGGCTAAGCTTTAAAGACAGATCAAATAGGTCAGTATTTGCTACAGACAGAGACCACTAGACGTCAATGCTGAACTTTTGGCAAGCTTACTTAAGCTATGTATCCCATCCCTACAGAGTGTCAACTAAAATTGCATCATGATGGGACACAAGTTCACAAGTGTCTCTCCCTTCATTTTCAATAAAGAAGTTTGAAGAATTAGAAACAACTCAATATGATGGAGGAAAAACCTCCATGATTAGTCTAGGAGCATCAAAGTTTCATGAGGAGATGGAAGCTTGCAATTGGATGGATTTGTACCTATGACCAGATACAAGACACGAAAAAGCCAAATATTACTCGGATAAGAGCACTGTACAACCCAAACTGAGGATCCAATTTATAGAAGCTCTTGTATTACATATCAAAAAGTTAGGGGTTTAATCAGTATCATATCCTTTTTAATTCTTTGACAAGAATCTGAAGCACATTCTGACACTCATAATAGTTTGACAATAATAAAATTTGCATCAACTTCATCTCTCATGCTACTGAAATTTGTCTAATACCTTCAAAGACTAGAATTCATTCATATCTTGCTTCTGTTTATTTAAGGCGGAAAGAAAACAAAGCAGCATGAGGAGATAGAGGGGAAGAAAGAAACTCATATCTTTTCAATAGCTCCTAGTTTAAACAGTCAAATTGCTAACAAGCAAAAGGAGTGATTATTGAATATAGTAAACCCTATCCCAGAGCTCTTTGTTTCAATATTGGCAACCAGGGGACCGATAGCATGTGTCTAACAATAAAGTCCTTTTGCTAACAATTTGAGGCTCACTACATGGATCCTGGCTCTGCATTCTGCTGTACCAAAACGTCACAAGCTCAATTAAACTGCAGTGATTAGCAACTTTTTTTATTATATCAATCCAAATTGATTTCTAGATGTACCATCAATCTTGATAGTCACTCTTTCTAACTTGAGCACTAATAAACGTTTATTGTATATCTGCAAACCACCTTAAACTATTTTCTCTTATCCTACCCTCAGTGGGAACAATAATTGTATCATGAATCCATAGCAGAAGTCCCTTATCATCCTCCTTTTAACGACACTAATTTTATGTCAGATTCTTAATTGCCAACTTTATATCATAAACAAAACAGATATAATAAGCACCATAAACACATTTTAAAAATAATACAACAGGTATATGCTAACCAGCCACTATTAATACAGAAGTACTCTTCCAATTAGTCCATCCCACAATAATTGTGCAAGCAACATTGATAAAAATCTCTCACTCCATATGCATTAAGTATCAAATTGCTCAACCTAAAGTATATTTTGTCCTTCAACACTAACCACTACTTCATTTGCACCTTACTCTTTGCTGAAATACATTACATGTATCCGATTTTGACTCCACTTCTTCCTAAATCCTATTGATTCTAACTCTTAACCTCCAATATTTCACATAACATTTCCACTATTACTCCATTGATCAAAACATCATCACTTGCAAGTTGCAAATAACATGTAAGAGAAGTTTTTTAATTCCCTGGGTGCCAATCCACATAAACACATCTATAAAGCACAAAAATTTTGGAAGACTCAAGTATTTACGTCTGTCCATAACAGACACTGACATGCATGGGACATACCTGAACATGATTTAAACATGCTTCAAGCCACATTAAGAACGTCTAGTTCAATATCCTTCTTAAACTCTTTTTTTTTTGTTTTTTAAAACACAAACGCACCAAGGGCAGAAGAAAAACATGTATACAAAAATTGGATGCTACCAGTATATGGAAAAAACCTGAGTAAAATTGTTTATATTTCTTACTATGGACTCACTTACAGAAACACCAAATTATGACTCACATGCATGTACTTGATTTGCCTAGTATTTGAACTTGAGGCAATAGAGAGCAGATTGATTTAACCTGTTGGGCATGTCATGTTTCTTAAATTTTTGATGTCTCCTTACTTCTACATTATTCTCTAAATTCATCTCTTATGCATGCCAAATAAGATAATACAGTTCTGTTGTACTCCAGCCATGTCAGATTGTGTACCTTTTAAGAATTACAATTTTGAGGGTCTTTATTATGCCCAAGACAACACAAATGTCAATGTCCCTCCATCCTCTGCATATTCATCCCTGAACAATTTAAGGGTAGTGAAGAGCTATGCTATTAAAACAGCAAAATCTTTTATGCAAGGCCGACCTCTGAGGGTTGATATACTCACTGATGATACGCCTAAGGCATTGCTACTAAAATAGTATCAGGAAAAAATTTGAAGAAAGTTTATTAAAGATATAAAGTTTAGCAGAACTATAAAGTTTGCAGTATGGAATCCTAGATACAAAGTTTGGCACGGCATATCAAATTCCTACTTGAAAGTGTTTGAGAGAAAGTAAAATGTAATGTTTCGTCATTCAAGCTATACCACTCACCCTTGACATTGATATGGTACTATAAATCTGTAATGGGCCAAAGCCTAATTTTCCCACAGATTGTGAGCATAAATGTAATTGAATTTATTTGCTATGAGAAAATATGAATATTGAAAGTAGCTTCCTCATTAGAGGAGTCATTTTATTGTTGCCCTTTGATGGGAACTGCAGTCACATCAATTGATTTTCGCAATAAGTGTTGTAGGTTTTGAAAACCGTGGACACTGATGTGCCCAAGAAGTTTTTTTTTTCTTTTTCATTTTTTTTTTTGTGCTCAAATGAAAATGATATTGGTATATTAGAAAATTTTTCTTCTCAGTATTACTTTAGGGGTAAATTATACTGCGATGCTTCTTGATTTGGAATTTCTATCTACTTAGGGATCATGTTTCAATGCTACCCCACCACCAACTCTATGCAATCATGTTGAAATGGTACTTTTAAATGGTCAACATGAGAAAGCATAAAGTGCTGAAATACAATATAGAATGATTTTTCAATTTCTAGTCATTCTGACTACCACCGTGGAAAATCTTCAAATGAAGAACGTACAGCTTCCATGTTATTATCAAGGCCCACAAGTATAGCAACATGACAACTGGGTCAACCAACCGTCTTGGTTCCAAAACCTTCACAATCTTATGAACAAGCATTCTGTGTGTGCACACACATGTACAACAGAGAAAAAAAAAAAAAAAAAAAGAAAAGAAAAAAAGAAGAGGAAAATGTACCATGCATTTGTAATTTGTCCAAGCTGTTTATGTAATTTTCAGCTAGTTGCAATAGTAAGGGCCAATTTGCAATCCAAAAAAGCTCAAACGTTTCCAACCCATTTCCACTGTAAGCCAATAAAAATCTGCATTTTGGGTTTTCTCCTTATTGACTTTTTTAATGCAGAAAAGCCACGGACACACAAGAAAAGGGGGGCAAAAAAAACAGAAGCCAGTTTTGCTCCATTCATAGGCATTCCAGAGGGCATTAAATATATATCATCAAGCTACTGCATCTTAAATGTCATCCTCAGGTTGACTCAGCACAGGTTTTGTCAAGTCTTAATGGATTCAGACAACAAAAATCCACAAGTGCAAAATAATATGTAAAATAAAACACAAAAAACCAAGAATGATGATGGGGAAAAGAAATGCATCCATACCTCATCCTTGTCAATGTTGTCAAAAAGAACATGACCAGTTCCAAGCTCAAAACAGATGCATGCAAATGACCACATATCTTTTGAAGTAGAGTTTTTGGATCATAGGATAATTTCTGGACAGCTATACGATCCTGATTGGATGTCATCTATAAATTGTTCGTGTGCACTACAAGCATTACCAAAATCGACCAATTTGCATTTCAGATCAGCTGAAGCCAATAGCTTTTGTCTTGTGGATCGGCTTCCTCTTTTATGGCCCTGACTGCCCTGTGCAGTTCCCTTCACTCCATCTAGTTTTCCTTCCATGGAACATGGATTTGAATTTGACCTATCAGAAGTTTCAGCAGCACCAGATGCTTCGGGTTCTTTCTCAGTTTCTCCAGAAGCTTCCTTCCCACGCAACCCTGAGCAGCTTTCTTAGCCTTTCTCTTAATCTTCTTTTTTTGGTTCTTTGTCAAATCCCCATTGGATGTCTTGACATCCTTTGTAACGCTAGAGCCGAATATAGTCTTGTTTTTACTGTTAGGAAGAATAAGTGAGGCTCCAGACTTCTTAGGATCTTTGGTTGGGTCAATCATGGATAGCAATACAATATTTTCTGGTTTCAAATCAGTGTGTATAATTGAGAGCTGTCTGCGCAAATAATCCAAACCAACCAAACTATGAAAGCATATCTCCTTTACTATTTGAATGGGCAACCCACGACCATCAAAAGAGTCCATAAGAGTCCGCAGATTATCCCCCAAACAATCAAAAACCATACATAGATGCTGACCATTGGGACCTGGGTGCTCAAAATGATCCAACAACTTCACTACACATTTCTTATCCTCTGGATCACCATCTGCAATCTGCCGTAATATGGTAATTTCATAATTTCATTCCCAAGTGCCTCTGTGCAATGCTGCACACTTCTCTGCACTTTCAGTGCCACATATCGCTGCAATATGTATAAATTATATAAAGTAAGCTGTAGGGAGAACACCTCACTCAACTGGCAGCAGATGACTTGATTACAGAGTATGTGAGGAAAACAAAAGAAGGAAGATTTTTTGGATCTCAGCTGCTATTTTAGTTACATTTCAGAATGTTATTGTGTCAATTTTAGAATACCAAAACAATCGATTCACCTCACCCAAAAAAAAATAACAGTAATAATAATAAAAATATAAAATAATAGTAGTAATGATTGTGATTTTACTCCAAAAAGCAAGAAAAATACTGCCGAATTCAGCTCCAAGAAGGCCATTGATCAGCATGAAAACTAACAGCGTCACTAAATTCGGCTCAAGACAGGTACTAAGCTCTATTAAATTAAGTTCCAAAATCGTGTCAAGCTCATGTTTCACCTACTTATCAGTAGTTGTTGACCGACAATTAAACCCTACAAAATACATTTTCCAAGCAAAGCCAACAACTGGAACTTTTTCATTTCTATCTTCCTTAAATTCCTCAGTAACCAAACGCAGGGATAGTGTACGTCTGCACATAAATTCCGAAGAAATTATCTATTAAAGAAGAACAAGCAATTAGGCAACATCAAAATATCCAATGCCGCAAACAGCGTATTGGATCAAGTCGAACACTCTCTTCACATGCTAGTATAGAAAATCCAAAGATCAAAATAGGCCTAGACGTTTCTCAAGAAAGGAGACGTAGGGACTTAAGTGATGGAAAAAGATGGAAAAATAAAACACTCAAATTTTATTCCTTGCATTGAATGATTTACAAAGGGTTCTATTTGTAGGAAAACTAATCCTAGATTTAATAGGAATTATAATCCTAGTAAAACTCTAATTTCTCTAAAGATAATTACATAGAAATTAAATACTAATCTAAAGATAATTACAAGGAATTATCTTTAACACCCTCCCTTAAACTGATAACTACGGAAATCAGTTTAAAGAGATGTCCTTATCTGAAATCATCCCGAGCCTTGATCGAAGCTTCACAAACACATCTTATTTGAGGGGTTTGGTCATAATATCTGCAACTTGTTCACCACTTGGACAAAACTCAAGGTTGATCACACCACTATTGCACTGATCCCGTAGAAAGTGATAACGAACATCTATGTGTTTGCTTCTCCCATGTAACACTGGATTCTTGGAAATCTTGATTGCTGAAGTATCATCACAAAAGATGGTAGTTGGTCCCATCTGCTTGCTTTGAAGTGTTTCCATCAACTTCCTTAACCAGATAGCTTGACAGGAACATGTTGTTGCAGCAACGTACTCAGCTTCTGTAGAAGATAAAGTAACTATCTGTTATTTCTTGGATGACCAAGAGATTGCTCCAGAACTCATCATAATATACAAAACCTGATGTACTCTTTCTGTCATCAATATCTCCAACATAATCACTATCTGCAAAGCCAAGAAGCAAAACTTTATAATCTCATTTCTGATAAAGGATTCCAAAGTTAAATGTACCTTTCAAGTATCGCAGAATCCTTTTGACAACTAAGAGATGATTTTCAGATGGATTTTCCATATACCGGCTTATTAAACTGACACTATACATAATGTCCGGTCTTGTTGCGGTTAAGTACATCAAGCATCCAACCATCTGTTTATAGAGTGTGGAATTTACCTTCTTTCCTTCATCATCTCTTTTGAGCTTGAGACCATATTCAGTGAGTGTGCTAATAGGATTGCGATCCTTCATCTGGAATCTATCCAAAATCTCAAGAACATATTTTCTTTGTGAAACAAAAATTCCAAGTGATGACTGAGAAACCTCAATACCAAGGAAGTAATGCATCAAATCTAGGTCTGACATCTCAAATTCTGACATCATATTCTCTTTGAATTCAGCAAGCATTCCTTTGTCATTCCTAGTATAGATGAGGTCATCCACATACAGACATACCATAAGTATACTTCCATTGGCATGACTCTTTGTGAAGAGAGTATGTTCATAAGGGCATTTCTAGAAACTTGCTCGAGTAAAGTAAGCTTCAATACGACTATACCAAGCTCGTGGGGCTTGTTTTAAGCCATATAGAGCTTTTCTGAGTTTGTAGACTTTATGCTTATTGTCATGCTTGACATATCCAAGAGGTTGATCAACATATACCTCTTCTTGTAGGTCTCCATGCAGGAAGGCTGATTTTACATCCAGTTGATAGATAGGCCATGACTTCTGTGCAGCCATGGATAATACCAGTCGGATGGTGTCAAGGCGAGCAACTGGAGCAAACACCTCCTTATAGTCAACTCCATATTCCTGCTTGTACCATTTTACAACAAGTCAGGCCTTGTGCTTGTTGATGCTGCCATCCTTATTTAGTTTGGTTTTGTAAACCCATTTTACTCCGATGGCTTTTTGTCCTACTGGAAGATCTACCAAGTCCCAAGTGTTGTTCTTTTCAATGGCCCTAATCTCTTCATCCATTGCTTTTTACCATTTTGGATCCTTAGCAGCTTTTTCAAATCTAATAGGATCACAATCTGTAAATAAGGCAAAGTGAGCAATATCATCATCAGATAACCCCTAACCTGTTATATAGTCTTGCATCCAGTTAGGTTTCTTTCTAAGACGTTGTTGAGGCTCTTCTGTAGGGTCAATTTGAATGGTGTGTTTGCCAGAGGTTTGAATTTGTTGAGGAGATGTTGGGTATGTGTCTTTATCATCAAAACTGACTTGCATAGGCTGCTGCCTAGAAACATCATCACTCCAATTCCAAGTGTTTCCCTCGTCAAAAAACAACGTCCTTGCTGATTACAATCTTTTTAGTGACTGGATTGTAAAGCTTGTAAGCCTTAGAAACTTCACTTATCCCCAAGAAGGCACACTTTTCACTTCTGTCATCCAGTTTCTTCCTTTTCTGATCAGGAACATATGCATATGCGATGCACCCAAAGATTTTGAAGTGATCAACAGATAGCTTTCTCCCACTCCATGCTTGTTCTGGTATCATGTTGAGGACAGAAAAAGTAGGGCTCCTATTCAGCACATGAACACTCCAATTAACTACTTCAGGCCAGAAGGTTTTTGGGATCCTTCCTTTGGTGATCATGCTACGAACCATGTTGAGAATGGTTCTATTCTTCCTCTCAGAGACTCCATTCTGTTGAGGTGAATAGGCTGCAGTAAGCTCCCTTCGAATGCCTTGGTTGTCACAGAAGGCATCGAACTCCTTGGAGTAATATTCTCCACCTCGGTCAGTCCTTAGAGTTTTTATGGCTCTTCTTGTTTCTTTCTCCACTTGTGCCTTAAAACTTTTGAATATCCCAAAAGCTTCTGATTTTTCCTGCAAAATATAGGCCCAAGTTTTCCTAGAATAATCATCGGTGAAAGTAATAAAATAACGGTTACCACCGTTGGAAGTCTGAGTGATAGGGCCACAAATGTCAGAATGGATCAACTCTAGTACTTTCTTGGCTCCCATGATTTTCCTTGAGGGAACTGAGAGCGAGGTTGTTTGCCAACAACACAGTCCTCACAAACTTGTGAAGGAGCTATAATCTGAGGAAGACTTTTAACCATATTCTTCTGTTGGAGAGTCCTTAATCCTCCAAAGTTCAGGTGCCCATATCGGTAATGCCAAAGCCAAGACGGATTCTTGATTTCAGTAGAAAACAAGAAGGAGCATGTTGAAGTTTTAAGGGGAATAACCTGTTTGTGCTCATCTTGATGGCAGCAATGGCTCCTCTTTTAGGATCATATATCTCGCACGATCCTTTCTGGATGGTTATTACATAACCCTTCTCTTGCAGTTGTCCAATGCTGAACAAGTTACTTTTCAGGTATGGAACATAGAAGACGTTGGAGATGGTTCTACAAAACCATTCTTGGTGCGGATGTTAATATCACCTTTTCCGAGTACCTCAACTGCAGAGCTATCACCAAAGCGAACAGTTGATTGAAAATTTTCATTTAGATTTGAGAAAAGTGACTTACTTCCGCACATGTGATTGCTGCATCCCATGTCTACATACCATACATCTGATTCGGATGGGTTTGTGACGTGGGTGGCCATCAGAATGGTTTCAGCATCATGCTGCTGTTCCTGTTGTTCTGCAAAGTTTGTTTTCTCCCCTCTTTCTTTATTCGGCATTTTGGTGTAGCAATCATAACTGTAATGGCCGAATTTGTGACACCTATAACATTCGACCTTGGATTTGTTATGCCGTCCTCTCCCTCGACCTTGGTTGTTGTTGGTTTTTGGATGCTGTTCCTGTTGTTTGTCTCCGTCTCTGGAACTCTGTCCTTCTCTTCCTTTACCTCTGCCTCTTCTTCTTCCTCGACCTCTTCCTCTAGAGTTCGAAGATCGGGAAGGAGTATAAGCCTTAAGGGCTTGCTCCTTCTTAGTTGAATTTCGGGTCAACTTTTACTCGTGTACCAGAAGGGAGCTTTGGAGTTCATCAACTGAGAGTAAATCAAGATCTTTAGATTCCTCAATGGAGCAAACAACAAAATCATACCTCGGTGTCAGGAAGCGCAAGATCTTTTCAACAATGGTGACATCTTCCATCTTCTCTCCTTGAAATCGCATTTTGTTGACAATCTCCATAGTTCGAGAAAAATAGCTCGTGATAGACTCACCGTCTTTCATCTCGAGAATCTCGAAGTCTCGTCTCAAGGCTTGAAGCTGTGCACGCTTCACTCTTGATGAGCCTTGATATTTCTTTTTCATGGAGTCCCATATGTCCTTTGAAGTTTCCTTGTTGAGAATAGTCTCCAAGACTGTTCGGTCTATTGCTTGGAAGAGATAGTTTTTGGCCTTCAGGTCTTTCAGCTTTAAACTCTCCAATTCTGTCCTTTGGACGGCTGTCAACACTGTTGGTGTTGATGGTTCTGCTCCTCCTTCGATTTTGGATGAAGGTTCTGTAATACCTTCACTAACCACCTGCCAGTATTCTTTGGATCTCAAGAAATTCTCCATCAACATGCTCTAGTGGTCATAATGTCCATCAAACCGTGGAATGGCGGGTTGCACGAAACTGTCGGATGCCATTGGAAGCCTTTGTTTGATTTCCCTCAAGTGATCCAGTTCACTTTTGGCTTTTTTGGATAGTCTGGTTCAAATTTGTCGGTTTGAATTTGGTCGGTTCGGTTCAGCTAGTTCAAGTAATCCAGGTCAGATGGACAGATTCTAGTTGACCCGGTTTAGGTGGACCGGGTTGGGTCAACCCAGTTCAGTGGGTCGGGTTGGACCGGGTCGGGTCTGCTGCAAATTAGATCAGCTTTGATCTGCTTCATGTCTGTAACAATTTGGATGGACTTTGCTCCTGTTCTGGATCTGCTTCGGATCTGCAACAATCGGATGGACAGCTTTGGGTCAGAGAATCTTCGACTGCTTCGGGTTTTGGAACTTCTTCGGGTTCGGCCGGATCTGACTGTTTTGCTGCAATCTGTTGGATCCCGTAATCTGTTGTTCTGCTTCGGGTTTGGACTAATCCGCAACAGGTTGGACAAATCTGCTTC